CTGTACTCCAGGAAATCCATGCTCAAAAATCCCTCCATGAGCAGCTCAGGGTTCTGCTCTTTCTAATTCCAGATTGGAACCAGTCTGGAGCCTCTTGGAGATGATCTGGGCACAAAAAGCAGAACTCCCCCGTTGCCCTCTGTCCTCTCTGCCCCTGACTCCTCTGTTTTTGGGGAATGGTGCAAACCAAGCCCAGGGTGGGTGCTCAGAGGTGCAGCTCTGCAGTGCAGAGGAGCAGCCAGAGGATGGGGAGGTTGGTCCATTCTGACACCACAAAACCTCCTCCTGCTCACTCACAGCTTCCTGTTTGCTCTACCCAGGAAATGACAGGAGCAGCTCTTCAATGGAAATTTTTCACAGCCTCAGCTAAAAATAGCAGTGAGGTAAAAGAAGTGGGCACCCACTCTTACAGGGTCATTTCCTTTCGAAAAACAGGCGGGCTCAGGCTGCRGGAGATTTATTTATCAACACGGTACGGGGCAAAACACCATGGATGGGTTTCCTTTTATCCAACACCATGGTGGAAATGTCAGGGGCAGCAGTCCCCTCACCTAGGAAGGGTTAAAGAGTGGAAGGTGAGAAGATCATTTTGTGGGGCTCTGAAATGCTCTGAGGGCTCTGGACGGGGCTGTGGTGAAGGGCTGACTCAGCCTAAAAACTTCACTTTCCCTCTCCTGTGGGGTCAGAATGCTCCTATGGGGTCAGAATGTTTCTGTGGGGTCAGAATGCTCCTGTGGGGTCAGAATGCTCCTGTGGGGTCAGAATGCTCCTGTGGGGTCAGAATGCTCCTGTGGGCTGAACTTCCAGGGGGCTGCAGGAACAGCCACAGCATTAACCCACACATGGGCACAAGAGCTCCCCGCCAGCTCTTCCACAGGAAAATTGGGATTTTTGGAAGSACCTGAATGACAAGAGCTCCCTGTYAGCAGCTGGCCTGGATGTCCTGCAGTCACTGGGAAYTTCTCCTGAATCCAGGCGGTGGTGGCAATGTCAGGGGCAGTTTAAGCTGGACATTGCTGGCTGGAGAGCTCTAAGGGAAGGTGATGGGTCCCAGCACCAAAATCCACAAGCACAGTCCCCAAACACGATAAATGTGTCAATAAACAGCAAAGGATCACAAGGCAGGATCTCTCTCTTAGCCTGGAATCACCTCCAGCCCAAGCCCAGTGAAATCACACATCTTCAGGGATCTGTTCCATCTGGGAGGRGGGACCCTGACCAGGTGTAAAACCAGAGATTTGCACTGAATCTGCTTTCAACAGAAGCTTGAACAAAATCAGCAAACTGAGCCCTGTCCAAAGCCCAGAGGAAGGCAGGGCATGTGCTGAAGCTGCTCTTCTGAACCCCCAAACACCTTTTTGGTAGCATGGTTAAAATAGATCTCAATATCAGATCTCATTATTTGCTCATTTCTGGATAGAGGAGATGGAGATGATGTGATTAATAAATAAAAGATCATTATTGAAGGTGCCTGGCCCTGGCTGCTCCAGAGCACRCTGCTATTGATCCATTTAATGAGGGAGAGCTGATGGGCCACGAGCACAAATGCAAYGATAATGGAGATTAAATCATAAAAAAGGACATTGAAATCACAGCTGCCATCAGCCATGGAAGTGACAATCCTGTTCCTGGGGATCACCAGGAGGAGAACCAGAGGCTGCTGGAATTRGGGGGACTCTGTGTCCCCCCAAGGGGCAGGGACAGTCCAGACTCCCAGCTGGAAACATGAACTGTGCTCCCATGGGTG